CCCGCGGGACGCTGAGAGGTCTTCCCCTCCGGTCCGCGTCTCGGGGCCTCCGTTTCCCCTCCCGTGCCTTGTCTCCAGTCGGAGGGCTCCGCGGGCGCCCCGATGTCAGCCACCGCTACCTGCTACCGGAGGCTGGGCAACCAGCGTCCCGCGGTAACCGGCATGGGGAGCGGGGCTCCTCTCCAGAGGGAGCCCAGGCCTCAGGCGGCCCCGCGCGGCCGCGTGGCCCACTGCGTGCGTGCACCTCCACACCTCGGGAGCCCGGCGGGCTGCACACAGGTTCCCGCCCGGCCCTAGAGAGAGACACGTAAGGTGTCGTGGTCAGCACCGCCTTGCCTGAGCATTCAAGAAAGCCCTCTTTGGCCAGGGCTGGTGGCTCACTCCTGTCTGTAGTCCTGGCTGCTTGGGAGGCTGAGATCTGAGGATCCCATTTCAAGGCCAGTTCGGGCAGGGAACTCCACGAGATTCTTATCTCCAATTAGCCACCAAAAAGCCTTCGTGGCCTTGGACACAAAAGCTCAGAGACAGCATCCAGGACCTGCACCCAAAAATAAGCCCTGTTTAAAGGGGTTGAGAACGTGACTCAAGTCTAGGCCCTGACAAATGGGAGGCCCTGAGGTCAAAGCCCAGTGCGGCCAAAACAAAAACAAAACCCAAAATAATTAAGTCCTCTTTATCATGTAGTCATGTAAGTCTTCTTTATCATCTTATCATGTAGAAAAGACCTCTTTGAATGGTGTTTATCTTAATAATCTTTTTCTCTCCTTTGTGTGTGTGGGGGGGGGGGGGTATCTGCCCATTAGCTCTTTCCACTCAAGACTGGTGTGCTACCATTTCAACCAGATCTCCACTTCCAGTTCTTCGGTAGTTGATTGGAGATCAGAGTCTCACAAACATTCACAGGCTGGCTTGGAGACTCAATCCTCAGACCTAAGCCTTCTAAGTAACTAGGATTGCAAGCATGGGCCTCCAGTGCCAGGCATCTTAATCTATCCCTTGATCAGTTCATCTGGGCCACTGCTCCCCCCTCCCTCAATTAATCAATTTGAAAGTGTGAAGGATTTTAGCAAGCACGTAAACTTCCTGCTGTATCTTCTAAAACCTGAGAGATGGGTGGCAAATCATGGGAACTGAGTATCCCTTTGTCATTGTCTCTAATGCTGGGGTCATTACAAGTCAACTCTTTAAGAGAAGATTAGCCTTGAGAAAAGTATCTGTTTCCATGGAAACAGCAAAGAAACAAATTGCCCAAACAGAACCACCTCTGTGATAGACGCCAGTGGGAGGATCGCAGTGATCACTCAGGAGCCAAGTGAATTACAGAAACAAGCCAGCCTCTACTACTTGGAAAGAGATGAAGCTAAACAATTAGGTTATTATTAGCATTATTGAATGAGAGAAGTCATTACATCGATGTGTAACGGACAAAAATGCTACTTTGGCATGTCAGAAAGATGTAACCTGTTTAAATAAATGAGCTGTAAAGAGAGAAAAGGTATATCTATTCAAAAGGAAGTCAGATGAACATAGAAGCCCAGAAAACTTGGAGCCACGGGTTAGACAGAAGCAGAGAGAATCCTTTGCTATAGCAGCACCTGCTCTCTGCTCTTAGGCTCTGAAGACGCAGGTCCACAGCAAACTGCTCTGTACAGTAAGTCGCGGAAACCAACCGGTGCTAAAATCATCCACATGCCTGTCTGTGCTGTAACTCTACTCCTCAAGCCCTTCTGATTAGGACCAGCCTTTCCACACCCACACAGCCCCAGATGCCCTTTCAATGTGGCAGTGAGTCTCTCTGCACGCAGGAATCCCAGCTCAGACTAGCCAAACACAGGAAGACCTCAGTTCGTTTTTCTCTTGGGAAACTATATTGTGCCACCTCCTCACAATCCATAACAAAACTAGAAATGGATGAATGAGATCTGATTTCAGGACTTCTGACCCTGAGCCCAGTGTTCTGTTCATTCGGGAAAATGTGAATCTATGACTTAGCAAATGATTCTTCATCTCATTGTTACTTGAAGTTATTTCAAAAGGATGAGTAGAGGGTCAGTCAAATGTTCCAAATGAAGATGTGTACTGAACAAAGAAAAGGTCAGGGCTAGCTCTTTTTCTACCATTTGCATCTAAAAATAGCAGACCAACTAGAGCTGCTAATGCAGGTTGCAAGGCAAAGACTCCTACTCTCCCTCAGAGAGCACTGGGCCAAAGGAGTGTGCTCTCAGCGCCCACTAGTGGTTGTCGTTGATCATTGCATGCTGGTTAAAAAAAAGACAAAACAATTCCTGTCTTGCACAGAAATAATTTCAATATGCCAAATAATAATTAGACTTAACTGCAAGATGCATTTGTCTATGACAGCCTTCTCCATATCCTGAAGAAAGTACACCTCCTCAGGAAACCAGACATGAGACCTGAAGATACATATGAAAGTACTTATGTAAGATTACTCATTTACAAATAAAGTCCTTCAAATAGGACCTCTTTTTAAATTGTGATTTTTAAATATTTGATAACACAGAAACTCCACATGTACATAATTTTAGAATCAGAATACAAATTCACAGCATAGAGAATATGTCAAAATGAGCGAGAGAGAGAGAGACAGAGACAGAGAGACAGAGAGAGAAATTGAGTTTGCAAAACTCCAAGTTTTGCTAGGGTGGCAATATAAAGGCACATAAGGAAGAAAAGTGAAACCTCTAGACAAATAGAGCTTTCTCAATGGGAAAGGTATGTGCTGTTCACCTCTCAGTTTTCAACGTCTCTAGTTACATCCAGGCACAGGTGGCTCACACCTGTAATCCTAGTTACTCAGGAGGCTGAGATCTGAGGATTGTGGTTCAAAGCCAGCCCTCACACCAAAGCCCATAAGACTCTTATCTCCAGTTAACCACCAGAAAACTGGAAGTGGTGCTGTGGCTCAAAGGAGTAGAGCTTCAGCATTGAGAAAGAAAAAAAAAACTCAGGAACAATACTCAGACCCTGAGTTCAAGACCCATGACCAATTTTTTTTAAGTCCCCAGTTATAAGGTGAACTAAGATGAGTATAGTTGTCAAAGTAGATAGTTTGAATGTATAAAAATAGAATAATGAGGGCTGGGAAGGTGGCTCAGTGGTAGAGTGCTTGCCTTGCATGCCTGAGGCCCTGGGTTCGATTCCTCAGCACCACATAAGAAAAAAGCTGGAAATGGCGCTGTGGCTCAAGTGGTAGAGCGCTAGCCTTGAGCAGAAGAGCTGAGGGACAGTGCCCAGGCTCAGAGTTCAGGCCCCACGACCGGACCCCCCCAAAAAAAAGATATGGAAAATAGAACAATGAAACCTGTTGAAATCATGTTAGGAAGCGGGAGGGGAGAGAGAGTGGTGAGACTGAATGGAATATATTATAGGCATGGGTGACAATGTTACAATGAAATCCCCCATGTTAACTAATGTGTGCCAAATAAAACAAGAAGAAATGCTTTACAGTTATCTTGAGATTCTGGCCAATTCCACCAGCAAAATATATCACATTTACATAATACTTCCATCTAGGACTTCAGATTTAGCTACTAACCCTAGCACAGTGGTGCTTGTCTGTAGTTCCAGCATTCATTAGGCTGAGATGAGGGAATCACTAGAGCCCAGAAATTTAAAGATTAGCTAGGAAAACTTAGAGATACTCCACAGAAGGAAAGAAAGACAAAGAAGGAAAAGGAAGGGAGGATGGAAGGAAGGAAAGAAGGAAGGAAGGAAGGAAGGAAGGAAGGAAGGAAAGAAGGAAGGAAGGAAGGAAAAGTCAAGCTCAGCACTATGTGACTCTCACACCTATATCAAAAAGCTGAGATTTGAGGATCATTGTTCAAAGCCAGCCCAGGTAGGAAAATCTGTGAGACACGTATTGCCAATTAACCACCAGAAAACCGGAAGTGGTGCTGTGGCTCAATGTGGTACAGCACTAGCCTTGAGCACAAAAGTACAGGGACAGCACCCAGGCACTGAGTTCAAGTTTATGACTGACAAAAATAAAATAAAAATGAACTACTAGAGAAAAATGTCTTTCAAAGTCCCATTTTTTGGCCTTTATTATACATTAATAATACAATCACTACAGAAGCCATTTTATCCCAAAATTGTCCTCCTTCTGCTTGCAGATAAGCCAAACATGAACAAACATAATGAAATAATCTGTTTCAGGTTTGAGTCTTCTCGCCTGGTGTGTGTGTGTATGTGTGTATGTGTATATGTATGTGGGTAGATGTGTGTATGTATGTGTGTATGTGTATATGTGTGTATGTATGTGTAATATGTAGGTATATGTGTGTATGTATATATGTGTGTATGTATATGTATCTGTGTATGTATATGTGTATATATGTATGTGTATGTGTGTATCTGTGAATATGTATGTGTGCATGTATATGTATGTATGTGTATATGTGTGCATGCATGTATATAT